ATGGGAGAACATGAAGTATTTAAATCAGTGACTTTGCCACAGGGAACCAAAGCTGTGGGTTGTAAGTGGGTATATAAGAAAAAGGTATTGCCAAATAATGATGTACAGTATAAGGCCAGGTTAGTGGCACAAGATTTTTCACAATTAAAGAATGTGCACTACGATGAAGTATTTGCACCAACTGTGAAAAGTGAGAGTATAAGATTAGCACTGGCGTTGGCAGCGGCATATAAACATAAAATCTGGCATTTTGATATCACAACTGCATTCTCAATGCTGAGTTAGAGGAAGAAATTTATATGATTCAAGCACCACGGTATGAAATTGCAAAACCTAACATGGTGTATAAATTAAACAAGGCTATTTATGGGCTGAAGCAGTCAGCCAGAAACTGGAATATCTGTTTAGATACTGCTTTAAAGGGTCTTGGATTTAAAAGTTGCAAAGCTGATAATTGTATATATACTGGACAGTTACAAGGAAGGAATTGTCTACTGTTATCATTTGTGGATGATCTTTGCTTCATCGCAAAGGATGCATCACAAGTCAAGGAATTTGCTGATAAATTAGGAAATAAATTCAAATTAAAGTATTTAGGAGAAATAAAAAATTATCTCGGTGTAAAGATACAGAAAAATGAAAAAGGTGGTTATATTCTCAGTCAAAGGAGAAAAATTGAGCAGTTATTGGAAAAATATAATATGAAAGATTGCAATACTGCTCCCACACCCATGAGTGCAGATTTTTATAATAGTTTAAGTGTGGACAAAGGTGAAACCTGTGATCAAGAGATATAGCACTCAGCAATAGGGAGTTTGTTATATCTATCACAGTGGTCCAGACCAGACACAGCTTGCGCAGTAAGCATTTTGAGTCGTTTTACTGCTGCACCTACAAAGTTACATTGGATGGGTATAAAAAGGGTTCTCAAGTATTTAAAGGGAACTATAAATTTGGGTTTTCAAATACAGATTACTGAGGAATTGAAATTAAAGTGTTATGTCGATAGTGACTATGCAAATGACATAAACACAAGGAAATCAAATTCTGGGATTATAATATTGTTTGGAGGGACTCTGATTGGATGGAAGTCCAGAAAACAAACAACTGTTGCTATTTCAACAGCGGAAGCAGAGTTTATTGCTTTATCTGAATTGTGTTCTGAAGTAACATGGTATGTACAGTTGTTGCAAGATTTAAATATTAATGTAAAAGAATCTGTAAAGGTATTTGAAGACAATGCTGCCTGTATAAAAATGGCAACTGGTGACAGGGTGAAGAACAGAAGTAAACATGTAGACATTAAGTATTGTAATGTCAGGGAAGCTGTAAAAGGAAAATTGATTAGTTTACATCATTGTTCTTCTGAGGATAATTTGGCAGACATGATGACTAAACCACTATGTGTGTTCATTATGGAGAATGTATTAAGTCAATAGGTCTGATGTCTCTTCCTGTCATGAAGGGAGAAGTGTTGGAATATTCATGAGCAGGAAGAGTCATGTGGTAACTCAATCAGCCAATGTGAAGAAAGTGCTATTGAGTCTGTGCAAAAGGGTATTGAGTTAGGAGCTGGATTTCCAGTCTCAGGTTTGTCTCTGTATCTCTCTGTAAGAAGTCTTCATTGAGCTATGTTGCTGTAAAGAAGAATGTATGGTATTGTAAATATTTTGATATGAATAAAAAAAGGTTATTTTGAATCAGCTAAATGCAGTCAACTGTGAGAGTTTCTGATTTATTTTTCACCAACAGAGAAATTAAAATTCTCTAACAATAATAATGGCAGAAAGATTAAAAAGATACTTAGCTGAATTTATCCATACTGATCAAAACGGTTTTCTGCCCAAAAGGCAAATAAGATATAATGTCAGGATTATATTAGATATGCTAGAATATTATGAATCACACAATGAAAAACAAATGGCACTGTTTTTTGACGATGCACAGAAAGCATTTGATAATGTTAGATGGGAATTTATGTTGACCCAACTTAAATATATGGAATTTGGGGAAAGATTCATAAACATGTTCCAAGCAATTTATTGTAATCAAGAAGCAAAAGTAATTATGAATGGAGAATTAACAAAAAGTTTTCAGATACAAAAAGGTACAGGACAAGGCTGCCCGCTATCAGCATTATTATTTGTACTTTCATTAGAAGTTTTAACAAGAATAATTCAAGAAGATAAACTGATTAAAGGTTTAGAAACTAAGAAAGAGGTATTCAAATTACAGGTGATCTAGTATTTATTTTGGAGGAACCTTTAGAGTCTGGCTTAAGATTATTACAGGTCCTGGAAAACTATGGAGATGTAGCGGGGTTGAAGATTAACAAAGAAAAAACAAAAATGTTAGTTAAGAATATGACCAAACCACAAGAGAATGAGCTAGCAGAAAAAATTAACATTCAAATAGCTAAAAAAGTAAGATACTTAAGGATTCAATTGACAGCAAGATGCATCACACTTAAAAGAGAAAATTATGATAAACTAATAGATCAAATCTCTGTAGACTTAGACAGATAGAAAAACCTACAGCTTCCTTTTTTGGGGAGAATTGCGACAATTAAAATGAATGTGCTACCCAAACTACTTTTCCTATTCCAATGTATACCGATTAAATTAGGCAAAAATTTCCTTGAAAATTTAAACAAAATTATATCCAAATTTATTTGGCAAGGGAGGAAACAGAGAATTAAATTCAAGTTATTGCAGGATGCAAAGGAAAGAGGAGGATTCGGTCTCCCAAATTGGGAAAAATATTACCAGGCAGCAACACTTGCTTGGTTAAAGGAATGGATACATTTAAGGAATAGGAGATTGCTAGCACTAGAAGGTCATGTCATGCAGACAGGTGGCATGCGATACTATGGGATGGGAAATACAAGGCACACCAGTATTTCCAGAAACATTATATTAGATGAGCACTACTAGATGTGTGGATTAAAATTAAAAAACCTAATTACATGAAAATACCCAATTGGATTTCAACACTGAAGATTTTTTTGCACCCAAAATTTATGAACCTGGGAAAGGTAATTACACATAAAAACATTATAGATGAGACCGGAGAATTGAAAACAAGAGGGGAACTATTAGAAGATGGCATAGAGTTGGAATGGTGAGCATACTTGCAAATATGATCACGATACAGAAAAGATAAAAAAGAACCTGGGATTAACTAACTAAACAACTAAACAACAGAACTAAACAAAATTATGCTAGGAACTGAAGACAAAATTATAAGAAAGATTTACCAATATTTATTAGAACAAAGTATGCCAGAACAGAACAGGTAAAAGATGCAATGTTAATTTGGAATAAAAACTTCAGCTACAATATCGAGTTAGATTACTAGCAACTGCTATGGGACAGGAATAGGAGATTAACATTAGCTACTACTTACAAAGAAAATTTATACAAGATGTTTTATAGGTGGCAGCTCCCCCCTATAAGACTAGCAAAAATAGACAAAAAATCTTCACCATTATGTTGGAAATGTAGGAAAATACCAGGGACTTATTATTATATGTGGTGGGAATGTTCAGAAGCTCAAAAATTTTGGCACTTGATAAAGAATTGGTTAGAAGAGATATTATCATTAAAAATTGAAATAAAACCAGAACTCTTTTTATTAGGGATCACTATGGATAAATTCAGCAAATTTATATTTAATTCTGCACATTTTAACCGCAGCAAGATTAACATATGTTCAAAATTGGAAAAGAAAAGAACCCCCCCACACACACACACCAAGAAGAAATACTAAACAAAATTCTATCCTGTGAGGAAATGGACAGACTGACATTAGAACTCAAAAATAAAACAGAAACAGAGTACTTTGAAATTTGGAATAAAGTGTATAATTGGTTGGATTTAAAGAGGTACGCTGGGACAAAGGCTGATGATTAAATAGATAACCTAGAAATTCTTATTTTAATATTTGTTAAATCAGATAGAATCAAAAGTTATTTAACTAGGATGTACTTTATTGAAAGAATGCACACCGTGTAACAATGTAATAACTTAATGTAAGGTAATATTAATAGTATCGTTTAAACAGGGAAGTTGTATCATGTCCAATGTGTCTTTTTTGTCTTTAATTGTATTATGTTTAATGTGTCTTTTGTTTTTTAATTGTATATTCAATAAAATTTTGTAAAAAAAAAAAAGAAGTGCAATATTGATTGCACAACTTCCATCCCTGATCCACCAAAGGCCATTAACAAGCATGACCAAGGCTGCCTGCATATTGAATTCTGGCCTGAAACTTGGTTGAAAGGGGTCTAGATTCGTCTGGACCCTTCCTAACAACTTTCTGTAAAAAGAGAAAGTTGGAGACACTGGCCAATCCACTGCATGGACCCAGCCATGGATCTCCTCCCTGGCCACCTAATAATACAGGAACAATCCTAGGTGCAACAAACCAGTGACCAAACTAAGGGCACAGAGAACCCTCTCCACTTCTTCAGGAGTTGCTGACTCAAACTCATTCCAGACCCTACCACTAGACTTATTTTCTTGACAACCCTGTGAAGTAAGCTGGACTGAGAGGGACGAGTATTTCCAGTCTCACATCTCCCTATCCACAGCTCACACTATTCTATAATTCAATAATTCTATAGACAAATTTGGAAACAGGAGCATTTATATCTCAGTACCTGTTGCATTCACACATTGAGCCTACCCAGGTCAATGACAGAACTGGTGGACCATTTGCATAGTCACAGTAAGTGCTAACTCTGGTTTCTTTAGATTTTCTTGAGGGAGAGTAGCTTTTGCAAACCCAGCCTTTTGCTAAGTCTATAGTTCAATATGATGCACAGACACAAAAGAGGGTTAATTGTATGACTAAGTTAAATATCTCCTAGGAATGCATCTCTCCTTTGAAAGGTGAACAAGGAAACAAATCAGATATTTCTAATTCATGCACACCTGAATCCAAACCACACAATTTTATCGGACATAAATGGTCTGTGTGCATACGCGCATAACTCTCACCTTTTTGTTTAAAAAAATTTGCCCTTTTTTCAGAGCCAAGCCCTCACGCACTCTGCACCACGAGCCCAGCAGCCTTTCCCCGAGGTGGGATGGGGGGGGGGGGTTCCGAGCTTTATCTCCCCGCGCGTCTTTTCACGTTCCCGCTGCACCAGAGAAAGCAACGCCCCGCCGAATCAAACGTTCGCGCAGGATCCGCGATCTCCCCTGGTGAGCGGCTCTGCAACGCAGCGCCCGCGGGATATCTTGAACGTTTCCGGAAAGCGAGCGCTTCCTCGTGAGTAACGCAGCGGAGCCGGCCGGGCAGCCGCAGCTCCGAACACTCCCGCCGCCGGCTCTTCCTGCCGCAGGTCCGGCGCTCCTATTCCCGAAGCAGGGCCGAAGCCCCTCTTGGCACTCACCCACCGATGGCTCAGACACTCTTGGCTAGCCTCAGCTCTCCGCGCGCAGCAGCTGAGCAACAGCTCAGCAGCGCGCGCTCTGCTCGTCCCCGGGCGACTCCTTAGAGAGTGCCTGTCCCGCGGTGAGCGCGCCTGGGAAAAACGGGGGTGGGATGTGGCCGGGCGGAACTACCCCCGCCAAGCCGGTGCCGTCTGGATCGGGGCACGAGCTCAGTCGGGGGAGCTGCTGCGAAACTCTGGCGCCAACTCCACCGTCGCTCGCGCAACAGCCGGGAGGAGCCAGTCTGGGCAGCCCGAGTCGGTCCCGGGAGGCGCTGGGACAGCGCGCACAAAGAGGCAGGGACTCTGCCGCAAGCAGCGGGCTCGAGGGCCGTTCCAGGCTGTGCCCCGCGGTGGCTGAGCGGCTGGGTTGCAGTTCCGGGAAATTCAGCGAGCAAGGAGGTTCCCAAGTGCGGGAGAACCCAGCTGGCAAAGCAGGGTGCTACTTTGGCGCGCAAAGCAGGGCTGGGACTGAGTGTGAAGCCCTAATTAAACTACAGCTTGATGAGATGCCGTTGGTCACTCCTCCCCACCATCCCCAGTGAGGAGGCTGAAACCACAGGTGATCCTCTTCCCTTGGTTCTATTCAAACAATCCCCATTAATAGGAGAAGCAGCACTTTTGCTGCTTCTCTGTATGCATCTCAGTGTGAGGTCTTGCCTCCGCTGTTCCCTCAAGAAAGTAGAATACTTGAAGTGTGCAACATTTCAATAGGACCTTTTATTGAGAGAAAGTGATTGCAGAGAAGACAGGCAGGATCTGAAGTTCCTGTGCATAAGCATCAGGTTAAACCCCATTGTTCAGAACCATTCCCAACTGCCCAATCCATGGAGACCCAATCCAGAAGTGAGAAGATGTTGTGGGAACTCCGAGTGGAGAAGGTGATAAGTTGTTCTCAAGAGCCGCAACCTGGTTCTTCAGAGATTTAGAATAGAATAGAACTGAAAGGGACCTTGGAGGTCTTCTAGTCCAGCCTACTGCTCAAGCAGGAGAACCTATCATTTCAGACAAGTGACTGTCTAGTCTCTTCTTAAAAATCCCTAGTGATGCAGTGCCCACAATTTCTGAAGGCAAGCTGTTCCACTGGTTAATTGTCCTCACTATTGGAAAGTTTCTCCTTAATTCCAGGCTGCTTCTCACTTTCATCAGTTTCCAACGATTGTTTCTTGTCCTGCCCTCTGATGCTTTGGAGCAGACATGTCAAACACAAGGCCTGGGGGCGCAAATGGGGCCTGTGAAGTGCTTTCATGTGGTCCACGAAGCCATCCTGGGAACAGTGAGGGAACGCCCCCTGCTGCCTTGGCTCTGGCCCAGGCCAGCCAGGCGCTAATATACAATTTTGTGGTGGCCATCTATGCTGAAACGTATTAAGTCTTAGCCCCACAAGGCCGTCTGGAAACAGTGAGGAACCAGCCCCTGCTGCGTCGCCTCCCCCCCCCCCGGGTGCATGCTGGGGAGGTGTCACCCATTGCAACCTGGTGATGTGGTTCCGGCTAATGAAACATTCCAAAAACTTCCAGGCATTTATTTTCCTAAAAGTCTTTTATTGTTCCAAAATGTTGGCACAGGCACAACGGAGGGATGGTAGGATCTAAGTTCTCTTCCTCTGAGCAGTTAAATTATCAGCACGTTCCCTCCCTAAATTAGCCGTCATATCTCACATTATCCAATTAGTGTGAAGGTCAAATGTTTTCTTCCTCTTTCTTTCCCGGGCTTTACCCCCAACGCCCCTTCTGCTCTTTATTAACCCCATAGTTACCAGACAATTCTGCATATTGTCAAAAGCAAGAATATACAATATTTGCAGTGTTGACATCCGGCCCCCCTTATAAGAAGGACGGATCCTGTAAAGTAAACAAAAGCATATGTTAAGGGTTATCTTTCGGTTTGTTGGGGTGTTTCATATGAAACCTTTTGACCAATCTGTCAGCTTTCACTTCACTGGATTTCACCCAGGTGGCTTCAGACAATGGGTATCCCTTCCATTGGATTAGGTACTGCAATTTCCCTTTAAAAATTCTAGAATCAAGAATACATTTTACTTCATAGTGGGTCTGCCCTGCAACTGTGGGGGGCCCAGGTGCTTTCTTCGGGGGAGGTCTTAAAGTGGAGCCCCGATAAGGCTTCAACAAGCTACAATGGAAAACTGGGTGAATTTTCCCTAGGGAGTTTTAGTTTTACTGTGACCGGGTTGATGATCTTTACTATGGGGAAAGGCCCCAAGAATTTTGGTCCCAATTTCTTGCTGGGCAATTTGAGGCGTAGATATTTAGTTGACAGATAGACCTTTTCCCCAACTTGGAATGTTCTTTGGGGAGCCTCTTTTTATCAGCCTGCTTTTTATAGGTTTCAAAAGTCTTTTTTAAAGCAGTTTTTGTGTTTTTCCAAACTTCTTCCCACCCTCTCACCTACTGATCAAGTGTCTGGGAAGCGGAGGGCAACTGAGGATATTCAGGTATTGAGTTAAATTCTTTCCCTGTGGCTACTTTGAAAGGCGTGTAGCTGCTGTGCACAGAATTATTGTACGCCACCTCCGCAAAAGGGAGGAAATCAGTCCAGTTCGTCTGTTGGTAAGAAAAGTAGCATCTAAGATATTGCTCCACCATTTTGTTAGCGGTTTCTGCGGCCCCATTTGTGGCCGGATGAAAAGCAGATGATAACCCTTGAGATGATCCAATCAATGTAAGGAAATTTCTCCAAAACTTTGCTGTGAATTGCACCCCCCTGTCTGAAATTATTCGCTTAGGGGCGCCATGCAGCCTGTAGATATGTTTCAGGAACAATTTGGCCAGTCGTTGGGCAGATGGGAATCCTTTGCAGGCGATGAAATGAGCCTGTTTCAAGAACAAGTCTATTACAGTCCAGATGACAGTATTTCCCCTACTTTCAGGTAGGTCTACTAAAAAGTCCATAGCTATTTCTTCCCAGGGTTGAGAAGGGTCTGCCATGGGTTGCAGTAACCCAGGAGTTTTCCCCAGGATTCTTTTCATTGTGGCACATACAGTACAACTTTTTACATAGCTTTCCACATCCTTTTTCAGCCCCGGCCACCAGAATTGCCGGCGGGTGAGGTGTAGGGTTTTCAAATATCCAAAGTGTCCAGCCTGCTTTACATTGTGGCTGTATTTGAGAGCATTAAGACGGAGCACTTCTGGCAAATATAGCTTCCCCCCTTTGTAAGCCAGGCCATCCCTGCATGTTAGGGAGGCTTGATTATCTTTGAACCATTGGTCAGTGAGGAGCTCTCGTTTTATTTTCTTCACTCCAGGGTCATCAGGATTGGGGGACCCTGCAAGGTGTAAGTTGAGCGGCAGTTTGTGGATTGGGGATAATTGCCTCGTTAACCTCCTCTCGTTCGCTTTTGTACTGGGGTAACCGGGATAGCGCATCAGCTAGGAAGTTTTTTCCTCCTGGTATGTACTTAAGAGTGAAGTTGAAGCGGTTAAACTATTGTGCCTACCATACTTGCTTTGCGGACAATTTGCGGGGAGTTTTCAATGCCTCTAGGTTTTTGTGATCTGTCCATACCTCAAATGGCACCTTGCTCCCTTCTAGATAGTGTCACCAGTTCAATAGCGCCCATATAATCGCGAAGGCCTCTTTCTCGCAGATTGCCCATCTTCGCTCGCTCTCAGTGAATTTCTTAGAGGTGTAGGTGCAGGGTTGCAGGATCCCATTTTTGTTCTTTTGTAGTAACACCACTCCAACCGCCACATCGCTGGCATCAGCTTGAATCACAAAGGGTTCCCCTGGGCAGGGGTGCTTTAGAAACGGTTCAGCGGCAAATAGTCTCTTTAAATTCTCAAAAGCTGTTTGACAGCTCATTGTCCATGCTAGTGGTTGGCCCGGTCGTGGCTTCCCTCCTCCTTTGCCTGTTTTGAGTAGTTCTGTAAGAGTTAGGGCAATCTTGGCAAAAGAAGGGATGAATTGACGATAAAAGTTGGCAAAACCCAGAAAGCTCTGGAGCTGTTTGCGAGTCCTTGGGGGCTGCCATTCAATTATAGTTTTCACCTTGGCTGGATCCATTTCAATACCCTCATTGGAAATTCGGTAGCCAAGGTAGTCTAACTGCTCAGAGGAAGAGAACTTAGATCCTACCATGATGATGTGGTTCCGGCTAATGAAACATTCCAAAGAACTTCCAGGCATTTATTTTCCTAAAAGTCTTTTATTGTTACAAAATGTCGGCACAGGCACAGCGGAGGGATAGTAGGATCTAAGTTCTCTTCCTCTGAGCAGTTAAATTATCAGCATGTTCCCTCCCTAAATTAGCCGTCATATCTCACATTATCCAATTAGTGTGAAGGTCAAATGTTTTCTTCCTCTTTCTTTCCCGGGCTTTATCCCCAACGCCCCTTCTGCTCTTTATTAACCCCATAGTTACCAGACAATTCTGCATATTGTCAAAAGCAAGAATATACAATATTTGCAGCGTTGAACCTGGCTAAGGAGAGCAAGTACAGCAGCAGCAGCCTTGAGGAGGAGGTAAGTGCAGCTGGGTGCCCCCTTGGGGAAATGGGGCTGGGCTTGGTGCTGCAGGTGCTCGAGGACAAGGCTGGGTGTTTGACTTCTGCTTCCCGGGGCTCTGGGCAGCCCGCGCCACCATCCAACCCCCCCCCCGCATGGCCTGAGAGGAACATTGAGGCTCCTCCAGTGGACCATGCCTTGGCACTTGCCCTGGTCCTACCCCCTTCTGCCAGAGACCCTCAGATCTGTCCCGCTCCTACTCAGGCCCCCACAGGCATCCTTGATGCAAATGATGTAGAGCTGGCCATGCCCACCCAGTAGGCCACATTCACTCCATCTACGCCCACCCAGTAGGCTACACCCACCCTGGCAACACCCATTCGGCCCCCAAGGGCAACCGCAGTGCTGATGCGGCCCTCAATGAAATTGAGTTTGACACCCCTGCTTTGGAGAATAATTTGACCCCCTCCTCTTTGTGGCAGCCCCTCAAATACTGGAGTACTGCTATCATGTCACCCCTATTTCTTCTTTTCTTTAGACTAGCCAAACCGAAGTCCTGCAGCCATTCTTCATATGTTTTAATCTCCAGGTCTTTGATCATCTTAGTTGCTCTTCTCTGAATTTTTTCCAAAGTCTCAACATCTTTTTTGTAGTATGATGTAATTTGTAATTAGTTGCAGTATTCCAGGTGTGGTCTTAGTAGGGTTTTATAAAGCGATACTAATACTTCGCATGATCTTGATTCTTATGCCTCTGTTTATACAACCCAGGATTGTATTAGCTTTTTTAGCTGCTGCTGCACATTGCTGACTCATATTCAAGTGATTGCCCACTAGGACTCCAAGGTCCCTCTCACAGTTATTGTTTTTGAGCCAGGTCTCGCCTAATCTGTATTTATACCTTTGATTTTTCCTACCTAATTGTATAACTTTGCTTTTCTCCACATTAAAGTTCATTTTGTT